ATTTAATTGACTCATTTTTTATATCATCTATCCATTAATTTTAATTATTTTATAATATTTAATTTATATAATTTAAAGAAAAGTTTTCTTTTCATTTTATCCACTATTAATAGTTCACTCATGTAATTCTTAATCTTGTTTTTGAATTATTACTTGAACATCCACTATGTAAAAATGTATACTAAATACTAAATCTTGGCAGTTGTATAATAAAGGGAAGCAAAAAAAAAATATATTTGTAGTTACTTAAAATGTTATACCCCATAATGATGTCATAATTTGCAGCGTACTCACGTTAATGATTGTACCTGACTACTTCTTCTTTTAGTGTAATATTCGAATTCAACATTATCTAATTTGATCCATCCCATAAATTTGCCTATTGCCAATAATGCTTTCTTCATATTTATTAACTTGTCTATTTGCAAAATGTTTTTTATATATTTCTTTAATCATTGAAATTTTCGCACCACTGTCAATCAGGCATTAAAAATTGTTGTTGTTGATTTTTGCTTTCTTTAGTTTTTCGAATTCTGACGTGCAGTTAATTTGTTTTGAAGGTTATTTGCCTGTTTGTGTAATTTCTGCCAAGGTGATCACGTTTGCATCTCTTTACAATCACGACGTTCATGATCTGTTTAACCGCAGTTGAAACAATGCTCCTTTGTTATTTCATTATTTTTGTGATATTTAACGTGCATGTGTTTTGTTTTTTTCATGCGTTCTCAAATTTAAATCACTTGATTCAACATAATTTTTGTACTTGAAAAAGCGTGTGTTAATTCCTTTGTCATTAGAATTTTAAAACTGTACAAATTGTTGACCAATAATGACTGCTTAAATAGTTTTGTTGTTTTTGTCATCTCATTACTCGCATTAACCAATTTTTGTGTATGAATTATCGATTCGAAATTAACATGTTTGTTCCTCCTCTAAAATATAGAATCATCTCCTCTGCATTTACATTTATATTTGTATTTGCTTCTTGGGAGTATTTTTACCGTGAGTAGTGCTATTAAGTCTTTAAGTTCAGTATTTGCCATTTCTGCGTTCACTTGTTTGTTAATCGAAAACATCCGGTTTTTAACTGCTGTTCTGATTCGTTGTTTCTTTTCATTACCTCCCTCGCTGGCGTTCCCCGTCATCTCTTCTTAATTTTTATTTGTCCGCACCCGAACTTATGTCTTCTGCTCCTGTTTTTAACATCTGCAACTTTTTTCTTTGTGCTCTTGATAAAACTCCGTTACTTTCCAGAGATTCATCCACGTGAAAATTTCTGATGTAAATTCCTAGTCTCTCCTCTTGATTATTCGCATAACTGCTAATTTAATTCTACGACTTTTCAACTATTTCCACTGTTTTATGCCAATTTTAACATAAATCAACAACAACTGCAAACAACTCTAAGAACTGTTTTTTTTCTGTAACCGCTCCCTGTATTTATTGTAGGACGAGCCCCCAAGTGTAGGAAATAATATGTTTATTATTACCTTTCGACAACGAAAAACACAACTGCACTTCGACACCAACTATCAACAACTATTGCCTCTACCAACCGCATTCCATTTTCACTATCTTCTGCCGCTTGCAACGCAGAGTTGCCATGAATTAGAATTACTGCCTACATATATGTGATACTTCTGTAATAGCACTTTATTATTAATTAAAACACTTAAAAATATCTATAGTAAACATATACATATTATTTTACGAACATTCATTGTTTTACACGTAATTATGTGATTTTTTCTTTTGCTTCTGAGAAAACGCGCTAAATTCTAATGAACGATGAACCATTAAGTTAGTAGTTGTTTGTACTTTGGTTTTTACATCATGCCAGATGACGTTCTGCTGGTTAATGTGTTCACCACAATACTCCCCCTCAATGAGGGCCGAAGACTGTGGTGAAACCCATCGTGACTTATTTTAATCGCTTGAGGATGAGTTTGCTGATGATTGTATTGTGTTAATGGAACTGTGATTATTTATTTCAAATGGTCTTGTTCGGCAAACGTTACTTTGCGTACCAAATCAGTAGTGCCATCGTTGCGGTTGGGTTGACCCAGGTTGTTTAATATTTCTACGAATAACGTTTCTGTTGGCTGCTCATTGTTTACTGCGAGAAACACTGGTTTCAGCCTTTCTATTGAAATGTTTAGGTGTTTGCTACTCGAAAATCTGTTCATTTATCCTTTTTATAACTTTGTACGTATATATGGTGGCTCAAGTGGTTTTTTATATCATCAGCACGTAAGAAGATATGAGTGCAGTCTTTAAACCTTTGCGAATTTGAGGTGGACCTTTACTGTTGCAATCCTATATGAAATCGATTTCAAAACTTTTCTTAATTGATTGGTGCGCCGTTGTCCACGAAAAATTCACCGAGTTCGCCAATTCACCAATTGAATCTATCGATCATTGTCAGAGCGTACCTATAACTTTGGCATTCTGAAAGACTGAAAAGGTCAATTTGAACGTGATCAAATCATTAGTCTGTTTCTGGAAAGAATATTGGAGCTGGTGTACCCATGACTTTACATCTTTACGAATTAATGGCCAAACATACTTTGAGGTTAATTGATGTGAGGTGCATCTGACACTAGGATGCGATATCGAGTGCGTCAGGTTAAATACATTTCTTTTTAGTAACTTGGGAAAGTTACTACCAGTTGTGATGTTGCAGTATGTGTCCAAATGTTTTTGTAGCCGTAGATTTTGTAGTTGTAATGAATTGGATTTTAGTGTTTGCTGCAACTCCTCGTCATTGATTTGAGCTTCACTGAGGCGTTCTTAACTGAATGATTGAGCCATTATTACTGCGCTTATGCAGTAATAGAGCATCAGCTCTTGTTAGGACCAGACACGTGTGGTATATTAGTTGAAAATTCATCAATGTAACTTGACTGTCGCTCTTGACGAGGTAATAGTTTTTTCATTTTCTGTCCAAAAGCAAAAATGAGAGGTTTGTGATTAGTTTGTGTGAAGTGTCATGCTTCTAGCATGTTTGATTGAAATGTAAACTGCTTAGAGCTTCCTATAGTGACCATTGTGATTGAGTTGGATTGCTCTTAACTTTGCAGAATGAAATGTTTTTATTTTTAAGTTGATACTGAAATTAATTTAAATTCGGTTTTATTTTTTTAAGAACATTAACTTTTATTTCGAGGGTTAATTTTTTGAATAATACGGAATTAGATGCGTCCGTAATGGATCGTAATGGATATGTTCGTGATAAGTGTACTAAGTTGGCACCTGCTTTACATTCTTCGAATGTATTGAGCTCCGACGACCGCACTACTTCGGTCTTTTCGCTCCTCTTAGACCACTTTCAATAATAGTTTAATACGCCAAGAAATTGACGAACTTGATGAACCGTCTTTGATTTTTCGTACTTACGCTTTTACTCAATCTTCTGGTTCCGTCTGAATTAATTTGTTAACCAAGGAATTGCAAAAACGTAACTCCAAACTACCAAACTCTTACTTTGAAATGTTTATGCTTAAGTGCGCTTGCTGAAGTTTATGTAACACAATGTCTTAATGCTTTTTATGCTCGCTAGCGTCCTTAAAAAAAAACAAAAATACCGTTTAAGTAACAAAAAAAAACGAATGGTGCGGCTCGGAAAATTGAGTCCATGTAATGTTGAAACGTTGGAGTTGCGTTTTTTAAGCCCAAATGGCGTTATGACGGATTCAAACATTCCCACTGGAGTGCTGACTGCAATTTTGCAAATATCTTCCGGGTTCATTGGAATGTTATAATAGGCTTGATTAATGTCAATCTTAGAGAATATTGCACTTCCATGAAGCCGTTCTGACACGTGATTGATGTACGGTATTGGATAACGGTCTAGATTCGTGCGGGCGTTTAGTTTACGGTAATCACCATTTGCCATCCATCTACCTGTCTTGTTTTTAACAAGATGGCTGGGCTTGACCTTGGTCTGTTTGACGGTCGTATAATCTCTTCCTCGAGTAGTGCACGAAATTCATTACGAATTGCTGGTAATTTCTCGCCAGAGTATCGTTTTGGTTTTTCTGCAAACGGTCGGTTTTATTAAAGTCAACTGTTTTTAAAAATACATTTCACTTTTTCGTTATCTCAACTTTATCTTTTGCTTAAAATTTGTCTTTTACATAGTTGAATTTGAAAATTCTCTTAATTTCATGCTTCGTTTTAGCGAAGTTAAGGTCATTTTCCATAGTTTCGTTCTGACATTGAAACTAAGTTTTGTATAGAAAAAACAACTTAGTTTCACTGAAACAACGATGACACTAAGATTTTTGCGAAATTAAGGTGTGCCTGAACAGCATATTCGTTTCAATAAAACTAAGGCCATTTTTTTTAATTTCGTTCTAACCTGAATTTTGTATGGATAAAATAACTTAATTTCACTAAAACGAAGATAAGATTAAGATTTTTGCGAAATTAACGTGTGTCTGAACATGGTATTACTGTTATATATATGTTATAATTAATATATATATTTATAGTATTGTAAGTTACAGTGTATATTACACAAAATATTTATTGCATCTAAACAAAACATTTAGTTCGTAAAATTTTGTTGTTTTATAACAGGGTTCGTATTTGCTCACTCATGAGCAGCTCAGGCTCATGAGCAAGAGCCAATTCTTACGTGAGCCCAAAATGGGCTCATGAGCGTGAGCCCATAATTGGCTCATATTAAAGAGCTGCTCACCAGCGTGAGCCTTCGAGTTGCTCATATTGAAGAGCTGCTCATGAGGTCTCACGAGCCGAGAGCTCACGAGCTCATCTGTTTAATAAAAAGCGATTTGTTAGTTTATTTACTTTATTTATTTTTATAAACGTTATATGTGAAAATACATAATTTGAAATTAAGTTCGCTTATATATTATATATTTATATTAAAACAATATAATGAAACAATAATTTGAATTTGAAAAACAAATTTATAAAATATTATTATCAGAAATATTTAAGCACATATTTTTGGAATTAAGCTCTTGAAAATTTAATTTAGTTATTAGTAAGTTGTTTATTGTACTATTACTTAATCTAGATCTTAGTTTAGTTAAAACTAGAGAAAGTGCGCTAAAAGCTCTTTCCACCGATACTTGTGTAGCTGGAACAGCTAATGCTACTGCTGCAACTTTTTTAATCTCCTTATAATTGTTTGACGTTTTCCAATAGCTTAAAATGTCAGTATGAAGAGGAACACCTTTTTGGCTGGCAAGTGCTATGAGCTTTTGTTTAAAGGTGCGATTTGTTTCGGTGTTAGCTGTTATATTTGCCGTCATTCGCTGCTGCAATTTTGAATAAGGTGCTGCAGAAGTAGTAGGAAACTCAAACATCATATCACATGAGATATTTGGAGAATCTGGTTCATTCCCTACTTTCTGTAAGTCCTCCAATTTTGTTAACCTTTCAAAAGTTGCTGTGAGATACGCCTGTGAAAAACATAACATATTAATTTAAAATTTGTTTAATAAATAATAATTTTCAAAAATACAATAATTTTTATAATTATAAATATAAGTATATTTGCAACTTAACGCACCACAGCTGTTGATTTTTGATTTTCAGACAGCATTGTTGAATTTTCATAATTAAAACGGGGATCAAGATAAAGCGCGGCTTGGAATGCATCACTATCCATAAATATTTGTTTCTTTTTTTGCATTGACTCATGTAAACGAGAAGCGTATGGTGTTTTTGTTACTAATTCCTCTAACTCTATCTCGCAACATAACCAATCTCTATAAAAATCACCAATTACGTACTGCTCTGTTTGCATATGTTTAGTACAAATAGCCAATGGGGAAAAGGCAGTTACAAAATTTACAACGAAATCCCAAGATATATCTGGAATTTCAGACTTTTCAATATATAATGCTTCTATTATCTCTCTCATTTTAAGTAAATTATTCAACATCTCATATGTCGAGTTCCAACATGTTGCATTTGTATATGAATGTCGCCTGCCCTAACAGCTTTTCGTAATTGCTTTACAGCATCTTTGCATTCACCAATTTGTAGTTCAAGATTTTTTAAAACATCATGGGCTGCAAGTTGAATTGTATGCGCAGCGCATCTCACAACAGATAATACCGATTATATTTTCATCATTATTGCTGCACTCCTCTTGATTAAAGTCCTCGTTTATATGCTCTTCTTGTATGTCTTGTAGTATTTCACTAACTTTCACCATATTTGCTCCATTATCTGTTGTACTGGAATAAATTTGGCCAACATCAATGTTGTAACTCTGAAGACATTTCAAAATCTCTTCCTTTAAATACGCAGCTTTATGGCTTTGTTTTTGAAGCTGTTTCATACCTATTTAATAAAATGTAAAAAAATGTTAGTAAAGTTTGCATTTGAAAATTTATGAAAAGAATATTTTGGAATATTCTTCTCATCTCAAAAGCCACCTTACTGGCAATAGTTTTTTATTACATTTAGGTTATATAAAATTTATTACACTTACCTATAGTGTTGATATATATTTTAAAGTCCTTTATATACTGAATATTTATTCCAAGAATACTTTTATCCATCCGAGTTGCAATGTCAAATTTAAGCGATAACATTTTATTTGTTAATCTCGCCTTAATTATCTGCTGTATTTTTATGCAAGAATTATCAAGCAATGATACAATATTTCTTGAATTCAAATTCATGCCAAACTTTCTTTCATACGGCTTTAATAACAATTTAAAAAAATCTTCATCGTCGAAAATTCTAAAAGGCAAGTTTTTGGAAGCCACTAATCCCACACAACACTTCAAAAAAGTATGTTTATCGATATCAAGTTTTACAAATTCATGCTTTTTATATTTTTTGTTAGCTGGTTCACAATTTTCCTCTTCACTTTCACTTGGTTTTTCACCTATATCTTTCTTATGGACGAGCTTATAATGCTGCTTAACATTAGAAATTTTTGTTTAATTGTTTTTCACATTGTAAGCAAATTATTTTGTTACATTCATGTAAAACTGTAAAGTATTTATTTTTTATAGCGCTCATTTTTAAATTTTCCGAAACAAAATTATGAACAAAGAATAAGTTAAAAATTCATATTTCTTAGCTTAAATAAGAAAATAAAATAAGAAACTCATTAAGGACAGTAGGTAAAATGAGAAGGTCATTATAGGACCGTAGTTAATATTACTTCCTCGAAAATTTCGTAGGTAAGAAATTTTCCACAAATAAACAATACAAATTTTTTATTGCTTATTTTAAGAACTTTAATTATTTCCATATTTTAGTTAGTTCAAGGTTATTAATATTTCAAATCTTTTTTAATGACATATTTTCACAAGAAAAAATAATAATAAAATCCTAAATTGGGCGCATGAGATCTCATGAGCCGCAGCTCATGAGCCGCAGCTCATACTCTTGCACACGAGCGTGAGCCCATTTATAACTTAATGGCGGCTCTTGCTCGTGAGCGTGAGCTCTGTAGTTGGGCTCGCTCGTGAGCGTGAACCATCGTATGAAAAGAGTTTTTTGCCGGCTCATGAGCCGTGAGCCGAATGAGCCAAAATGAGCCGCTCATGGGTACGCAAATACGAACTCTGTTTTATAATAAATTTAATCTGTAATACAATACAAATCTGTGTTTTTCACTTCGGTAAATTTCAAGTCACAAATCTGTTTATATTACATTTGAAAAGTTTTTCAAACGTTTGGCAGTTTCTTATCGAATTCGAAGTTTTTTTGACGTTTTGTTTTTTGTTCAGTAATAATGGGATAAGTGCAATCGCGATCTTCTGAATAAACATCGAAAATAAGTCATACTTTCACAATAAATTTTGCTAAATATTTTATCCAATCATAATCGTTGAATGTAAGAAAAAATAATGCTGTTCTTAGTTTAAATTTATAATTGCTATTTTGGCACCAATTGTAATGCAAATATTGCTGCATTTTTTATAGTAAAATAGGCGGAAGTAAATATTTGTTGTCTTATAAATTTGAAGATTATGTCAAAACATATGAACACATTGGGTTATCGAGGACGAAAGTCATTTAAAGTGTTAGAAAAAACAGTAGAAGTACTAATAAATGAAAGTGATGATGACGATGCACGCTTGATAATTACTTCTCGACATTTACATAAGCTCACTGATAATGAAGATTTTGATGACCAAAACATTGGAGATGGAACTTGAAAATAATATTGACGACTCGATTCGGTAATCGGAATTAAACTGCTTGTCGCTTAACCCATTGCCTGACAATGTTGCGAAAACGCAACAATTTTAACGCTGTATTCAGAAATTTTTTAAAATTTAATTAAAAGGTTTTTGTGCTTATAGTTTTTTTTGTACAATAGGACTATGATTTATCTACAATATATAATTTTTTTTTTGACCTGAATTGTATAGATACAATTTAATGGAAGATTTTGCAGAGCCGTCTTTGTGTTATTTTAAAATTATACGACTTTTGCTTATTTTTATGCATGTGTTATATAAATGGAGAAAATTTGTGTTAATTTTTTACCTAAATCTTAATTACAATAGTGTATTCTAGCGAATCTATATAAATTGTAAGCTATTTGGTGATATATGTACGTTACACAAACTCTCAAAGTCAGGTGTTACGAAAACGCAACAATGTCAAGAAACGAGTACTAAAGTTTTTTTCCGGTAAAGAAACTATTGCTTGTAGCAGGTAGTCTCAATTAATTTTTTAGCGTAATAGCAATTAAATAATAAGCGTGCTCCAACTTATCACGATAAATATTCCCATGTTTTAAAATATTTAATGTTATCTTATGATTTTTTATGGTATTTCAGTATAATTTTTTACTTCTTCTTAGAAACTGTACAATGTTGGTGTATAAATATAAATTATTGAATAAATACACTAAGACTTCTAATACAGTCATTAGATTCAAATCAACATTTCTAGTGTCAATTTAATATTCAGCCTTAAAACATTAGTGTTAAAATAAGTGAACAACGAAAGTTTTTATCTATGTGTGATATTGAAGATATTTTGATGGGATCTAATGATATTGATTCCTCTGATAGTACACGCATTACTATCTTGCCTCCGCTCAATGTCGATAACCAGAGTGATGCGGAGGAATTAGATGACACGTTGATGGAGGATGGAGAACAACTACCAAATGAAGTAGCAGGTGAATTAGAAATGGTTTTCAATTATACGGCCGATGAAGTTGAAACTAAGGTATCAAAAAAAAAAACAAAAAAGAAAAACTAAAGTGGTCCAAAATTTATAAATATAAATGTAAATGTAAAGGACATATCTAAGCAGCTACGAGGAACAAGTGATGCGGTATACAATGTCGACAACAATGTATATTTATGTCGATGGAATGACAATTCTGTAGTTACAGTAGCATCACACTACATCGCAACTCTTCCTATGCAAACTACCAAAGGCTATATTAGAAAAGAGAAGAAAATGGGTAATATCAGCATGCCAAACATTATAAGCCATTATAATAAAACAATGGGTGGCGTTGATCTCTTTGACAATACTATAAACAATTACCGAATACGGATTCGAGGAAAAAAATGGTACTGGCCTCTTATAACTAATGGACTTGATGCAGCGATGGTTAACGCTTGGAAACTTCATTGCATTTTTCAAAAAAATGTTAAAAAAAGGCAATTATATCACAAGCTGACTTCCATGTAGAAGTAACAGAGTATTTGCTAATAACAGAGGATCAGATTTTCGACACCCAAACATGCCAACATTATCAAGATACGACAATGTTGATCATACAGTATCCCAAACACCTAACAGACAAAGGTGTAAATTGTGTCGCAGTCAAACCATATATATCTGTACCAAATGTAATGTTGCTTTGCACCCTAAGTGTTTTATAAATTATCATAACAAGTGAATTAAATGTTCAAAAAACACACAAAAAATAAAAAATTAATAATATTAAAACATCAAAACTTTTTGGTATGTGAACCTTTATTCTGACAATGTTGCGAAAACGCAACAGTGGGTGCAGCCTAAACTGGGCGGGTTAGCAAAAAAAAAATTTTTTTTTCTTAATTAGGAGTACATAAGTGCACAAGTAAAACGGCTTTAAGAAATTCCGCCTCCTTCTAGTAGCGTCAGATAATGGGTTAACTATTTAGCAATTTGTAGCTACAGGGTTTGATTTATTGTATTATTTTGGTAGTTACTAGCGTTATTTCATAGATATAAGAAACAATAGGTGGTTAAGAATGAGTGCAAAAGATGAAACATAAAACAAAAGAAATGCTTTCACAGATGATATTTAATATACATTGTATAAAATAAAATAAAATAAGTAAATCTTATATCACGAACCTCACTTAAATCAATGGGTTAAATTTCATTGGGGTAATGTTAGGTGGTTCATCAAGAAAGCGGCTCAACTTCATCAGATTACTAAAAAGAAAAGTGCAGTTTTTACTTCAAGCTATTGAATACTGATTAATGGCTGGACGGTCAACTCTTTTTAGACGGGAAGTAGTGGATAGAAGTGCGAGATTCTTTCTAACATGTTCTGTCAGCTTTCAATGTATCTTTTTTTTTATATTATCAAATTCAGTTTTAACTAGGTAAATTTGTAGATCTCGATGTATACTCTCATTACTAATATACGATGGGGCATCAGTATTTTTGATTGAGCTCCTTCGATAATTTCAATATTTGAAGCACCAGCATTAACAAAAAGCTGGATACCATAACTCCATACTGGTTTTATAAGTTAAAAAAAACATAGAGGCTTTTTTTGGCTTCAATATGCTTGCGCTAAGTTAGGCGTTTGTTCAGGTGCATACCTAAGTACGTTATGTTACCTGCTTGTGGTATGGGAATGATTCTTAGTAAAATTGTTGGAGATGTACTCCGATTTAAGGTAAAGGTGACGTGTTTATATTTAAGTTC